CCATATTCAATAATTATTTAGTATACCTATATTTATTTATTAACACAAATAATCCACTTATTTATTTTGGTCAAAATAGATTTTTTTAACCTTAAAATACAAAATTAGATGATATTTTTTGTTCTAATACATTAACCTACCTTTGATACAGATATTCTTATTTCATAACAAAGAAGTTAGATTTTTTTTAATAAATGCTGTTTAGTTAAAACTATTTTATGGAGAAATGTAGACCCAATGCACAAAAATATCACTTATATTGCACCTTACACTTTGGAATTTCATTAAATGCAGATTTATATTCCTAAATTCTTAAACCAACCATTTTTATTGTGATACTATAAAGATTTATTAACTTTTAACGCTTAAACATAAGCGGTAACACTATAAATATTATTTCTTTCATTTACTATACTTTGACAGATACATAACCTGAAAAGCCTTAAATGCCAAATTTTCAAACGACTGCGTTCCGTACGTGGTCACGTGGTGGGACTTTGAGGTGTGGAGCATAGTACGTATGGCTGAGCGCTCCACACTCTACGCCCTCTATCTCAAAAACGGTTCGACGTATAAAAAAATGTTTTAAACAAAATTTGTAAAAAAATTTATTCTCTACAACTTTTATAATAAATGAGATATTCTCAAAACACTGATTTTTGCGACCTTTGACCTTGAATATCTAAGGCCGCTCACACGTTGGTATATGTGACTTTTGAGACAACATTTGTAATGCTAAAATAAAGGTTTTCACAAAAATTCAGCTTATTCCGTTAGATTCCGAGGTTGATCCCTTTTTTTTAAGGTTTTACTACTTATGACACTGTTGTCGCCCATGTGCGATATATATATTACCGTTCTGATTACACAGTGACTAGAGGCACGCTAACGTGCCGCGATTCGAAAGGCAACTTTAAGTTTGAATACCTTCAGAACGGCTCACTCTATGAAAAAATATATTGAAACTTTTTTGTAGAGCGTTCAATTTCCTACCAAAATTCGTTTTTACAATGCTCAAATGTCAAGCTACAAAAATAAGAAAAATTTAAAAAAATGTCCATGTTATTTAAATGGAAAATGGAAAGTTAGGAACAGGCACCAATTAATGTTATTATTAAGAGCTCAAATTTTTAGAGGCTTCTTTTTTCACCTTCCTGAAAGTTTTTAGCCTGTTTTTTAGTGGAAAAAAAAGTTGCACAAAAATGACTACCGGTCCTACCGGTTTCAGAGATCGGGGCCCCGAGCACCAGGGAGGCCCCAGAAGTGGCAAAAGATTTTTTTTATCTAAATATAAGAAAAATGTTCAATATGAAAAAATAAAATTTTGTTTTTTGTAGTACTAAATATTCGTTGCCTTCTTGATATTATATTTCTATTGTGTTTTTTTTTTCAAATTTCTGAACTCATAATTTGGAATTAAATATTTTGAAATAAACATAGGTTAATTGAAATTTAAAATTACAAATCTAGAATCATAAACTCGAAATCGAATACTTCACATCGAAAGTCTGAAATTTTGAATAGGAAATCACGGTGCTGTTCTGAGAGGTGATTTTTGGACTTTCTGTGAAACCTAATTTTTTTTTATATTCTTGTTAATTAGGTCATTACTAAAATTTTAAGAGCAAAATAAAAAAAATTTGACGGTTAATTTTGTTTTAATTGGATGTTTATTAAAAATATGTATGCACACTTTCAATTCTCCAATTAAAACTTGCGATTTTATTTAAATATTATCATAACTTTTTAAATCAGATTAAAGATTAGTTAATTTCCTAAAAAAAGATCTATACATTTTTTATATCTTTTACTGTTTTGTTGTAATACACGTTTAAAGTTTTAATTTAATGTTAAATGTGTAGTATACATTTATTAAACAATAATTCTAAGGGTGCCGCATTTTATTAAGGGCCGATTTATAAATTTTTGATTTATTTGACGAATAATTTCTTTGGATACTAGATATTGCCAAGACATGAAAGTTATCGGCCCGATAAACTTTACTAAAGATGAATAAACCGGTCCTTAGTTAAATTTCATAAATTTCTTCGTAACTTTTACTACAATTTTTCATTTTTGTTTATAAAAAACACTTTAAAAACTAAACAAAAATTATAGAATACGTATACTGAAAATGACTTCAAATAAATTTTTAATAGATCTAAGTTTCATGGCAACCTTTAAGGATATATTAATTAAGGGAACATAAATGTATACGTCAAAGGTTAGATTAAAAGTTTGAACGTTTATTGCACAAAACCGTAAAATATATAAAAAAAAATTAAAAACCTTTTTTTAGTTATGCAAATATTAAATATTTAAATTAAATCACTAGTTTTAATTGGATAATTGAAAGAGTGCATAATATTTTTAATAAACAGCCAATTAAAACAATTCAAACCGTCAATTTTTTTTTATTTTGTTCTTAAAATTTTAGTTATGACCTAATTAACAAGAATATAAAAAAAAATTAGGTTTCACAGAAAGTCCAAAAATCACCTCTCAGAACAGCACCGTGAAATATACATTTTTAGTCAAAAATAGAAATTCAGAGTTAAAAAAATAAAAATGAAAAATTTGCAATCTAAAATAAGAATTTTTCGATTTCACATTTACAATTTTGGATAAAAAAATCAAGATTCAAACTCTCAAATTCAAATTCTTATTTATAATAAGCATAAATTAGTAGTACTATAAATTAATATAGCATACATGTATATGTTTGCAATGAGACAGTTTGAAACATTGGAATAAAAATATTCTTTGAAACGTAGATCTGATTTGAGTATTAGGTATACCATAAAAATAAAACGTTTTACGTGAATAACACTTCATCCTTTTTTTTTCAACATCATTTGTATCCCTACCTTGAATCAAAAACTACATCCCTTCGAAATCCTGAGCAATGAATATTCTTGTGTAATGCGTAAATGATTCAAAAAATTACTGGTAAGGGCCCCCTAGTAAAAATCCGACTGGGGCCTCCTTTTCTATAGTTACGCTACTGAGGGTGGGCCATTTCAAAAAAATATTTTTTATTTAAGCTTCACAACATGAAACTAAGAGGCCCTCATTTTTTCTTAATTTTTTGTTCACGTCTTATGCTCTCTATTATTTATGTTAATATGAGCCCGGTTCGGTGACGAGATGGAAGGCATTTCAGTCTTGTAACATGATTATTGCTATTATTAGTATATTTATCCTTTACTATTACATTTAGCTGGATTTTACGTTACTTTTAACCCTTTTCTTTTAGCTATTACCACACCGCTTTTACCGTTATTACTATAATTGTAATAATTTGTTATGTTCAATTCTTGTACTGTTCAAATGTAACATTGTAACTTTTTGTGCTTAACCCAACATTTTGTACCTTCACTGTGGTGTAAAAGGTAATCTTAAAATGGTGTCTAAATCCAACACAGAAAAATAGGAATAGTTAATTTAACTATATTAATTTAGTTGACCCATAAATATTTATTTAAATCAACTGTGGGAAGGTTAATATAAACAAAGATAGTTATTTTTTTTTTAATTGGTTAAATTAACCCAGAAAACTTTAGTGAAAATAACCCGCTGTATGGTTCAGTTTACTAAATATGTTAAATCTGTTAAAACGATTAAAACAATTTGCCGTGCATTCCTGGTTGCATAGTATGTACCGATCGCGGCAAAGGCGGTGTGGATCACGTGATGTTCTTAAATCTCGCCTCTGTTGACTTACATGAAGAGTATATAAGCTCAGGTAGTCCTTTGCTTTGGTGTGACACTACAATTTATTCGATACTAAAGAGACCTTAAATAGGTGGAAACAGCTGTCAATACTTGAAGTATTTTAAGTTGGTGGAACGCACTAAAAACATTATCTCTAGCGAGTTAAAGGTTAAATTTTCTGGAATAATACCACTGGTAATACACTAGTAATGCGTCAAGGAACTTCCTGTTTCCTTTTTTTCTGTGTAGTACGATTTAATTTGATCAAAAACACATAATATAACACTGAAAAGGAGTTCAATTTACACCAGGTAAAATTTATTTTAATACTGTGAGAAAGTTAAATTTACGTTATTTTAGTATTTAAATTTACACTGGACCAACGAACCATATTTAACACCATTTTGGTTAAAATGGTCATGAAATTTTGAACAGTGTTTTCTATAATGTGATTAAGCATTATTGTATTGTATTGCGAAATGACTCGGTGCTTAAACAGGAGTTCTGACCGTTACCGTTAAACTTTGAGTAATCTTTGTTGTATGAACTAATAGTTTCTCCCGTGAGGGGAACAGGTTGCCCTAGGTTCTCTAGGGCTGTATCACTTTTTTCCGACCCTACAACTAAAATAGGCGAGTTGCCTCCAGTGCGGACCTCGTTACCTACTGGGCCTAGCCCGGTTTATCAACACCAATATTTTTCAGTTTTACCTACTGGGCCTAGCCCGGTTTATCAACACCAATATTTTTCAGTTTTAAATCTTTGTTGAATGCAGTATCGAGCCATATCGCCAATACATTAATTTGCGTAAATTTTAAAGTACAATGCCTGACCGCGTATTCCTTTGCTACTTCCTAGCCGACCAGGGTTTTTATAATTATAATGTATATTTTTTATTTTTTAATCAGTTTTTTGCCTTTACCTTAATTTTTTTTAATTCAATTTATTTTAATACATTTTTTCGCCTGGAATCGGCCTTAATATATTCAAGTTTATTAATATTTATAATAAAAATAATATTAATAAACTTTTTTATTGTGAAAACATATAAACGGCGAAGTTTGATTTGAAACATTCATTAAATTTGCATCGCTCAAAAAGCAGCGAAAGTCGAATGCTCATTTTATGAAAAACAATTATTTTTTACTAAGCCGTTTTATTTTATTTCAACCTTTATGTTAAGATTATGTTGTATTAGGAAATCCATTGTTTCACAGCTAAAAGTACAAACCATACAATAATTAATAATTATGATGGCCTAAAAACAAGGTCAAGTATTTCATAGGCACATGTTTATTTAATAAATTAATTAATGGTCATTTCTTTCTGCAGTTGTAACAGCATCTTCTACCAAGTCATAAACAAGTTTCCTGATAATAACAAAAGACGATTCTGATTCTGATTCCTCCTCTTGGCTGTCTTCATAATTCTCAATAAAAAAATTATTTGATCTAAATGGAATTGACACATTGCTATCTTCAGAAGAACTTTGTTGATAAAAATAATTTTCTTTCAAAATGGGATAAATTATACCTTTTTTGGCATAATACTCAGTAATATCATCAATGACGTCATATTTAGATCTATTAAAAAATTGTGCCATATAAATCAGAACATCAGTTGATGGTCTCTTGAGGAACACTCTTTGTAGTAGTAGAGAAATAATAGCTTTAACTTCTGGAGTTTTATTTAGATATATATTATTCTCCTTTATCGTCTGAACTTTAAAACGGTTTATAGATTCTTGTTGTTCAGGTGTTAGAAAAGATAAATTGTAGTTTTTTGTACCCCTAGGAATGTCGGTCGATAAAAAATCAAAATTTTCTGGTAATGCATCGTAGACACATTTATCTTTCTTAAAAAACATAATAAAAACATACTATTTAACAAAAATGACAAAATAAAACATATTTGACGTTTTATATATTTGGTGACATTTATTTTCATTGGTAATATTACTTAATGGTATATTGTTCCTCCTATTTATTTACAAGGTTCATGGCGTTTTCCACCAATTCATCCAATATTTCTGTTATAATCATCAAGGTGGACTCTTCTGAGGCTTCCTCTTCATCCTTATAATAATTATTATTAAATGCGAATTGGCTTGATTCGTCTATAAAAGATATGGATTGGCTAAAATCACTGTATTCGAAAAAGTCCATTTGTCTTTTTTCAAATGGATATTTCAAACCCCTCCTTGCATAATACTGGATAATATCATCTTTTATATCAAACTTGGATTTATTAAAATATTTTGCCATGAATTGCAGCACGTTCCTTGAAGGTCTTTTAGTAAATATCAGTTGGAGTAATATAGAAATAAAGGCATGGACTTCAGGATTTTGTTTTAGATATATATTATTTTCCTTTATCGTTTGTACTTTAAATCGGTGTAAATTTTCTTTTTGGTCTGGTGTTAAATCGGATAAAATATAGTTTTTTGTATTACGAGGTTTATCAGTAGAAGCAAAATCAAAATCTTCAGGTAAAGGTGCATAAATACATGATTTATTCTTTAAAAACATTGCAGAGCTAAAATACTTGTTTGACAAAATTGTCACATGACAATATATTTGGTAATATTTTGTTAATTTTTTAAGGCGCCAAACTAAAATATTTTATTGTGCATGGTTAATTGATGTGTAGAAAATTCCAATGGAAATAAACTGCAGTTTTTTTGCATTTATTTTAATGTACGTTTTAACATATCTTGGATTTACTTTTTATTTAAAGTGATATATTTCAAAAATATAATTTGGGAATTTTTTAGTAGTTCTCGTGGAAATTAAGTTAAAATCACTATTTTCGACATATTTACAGCAATATTGCCTGATATAAAATACATACGCTATTAAAAATAAAAAAGTCTATTCGCCCTACAGACGATTAATATATTTTTTCTACTCCCACCTTTAAAACGCCCTTTATCGTACATGTTTCCATGACACTAAGTGACCTTTTAAATACACATTGACAAGTTGTGGCTTTATGGCGCTTTAGTCACGGGCTCAAGTTAGCAACATGTTTTTAGTCACGGTCTGAAGTTAGTTTTAAGTTAGTTGACAGTTGTCAAATATCATACAATCGTTAAAATAAAGTGCCTAACTTGTAAAATAATACTAAATGTAAAAATTATTTTATTATTTTTTATACATTGACGAGCTGTGACTTTAAGGAGTTTTGTTCAAGGGCTGAAGTTAGCAGTAGCGGCTTTTAGGCATTTTAGTGACGGGCTAGCTTTATTATAAATTGGGAAAAAGAGGTTAAATCCGTTGACATTTGATAGATGTCAAATGTTTAAAAAATAAAATTGGCTTTAAATTCTTTTTTGGGTTTGTCGTATATAAAGTAGAGTATGCAAATCGTTTTATAAACTTCTCTAGACACTCGTTTTTTTTAAACACTCGCTTGCAAGCTTCGCTCTTGCCTAATAAAACTCGTAACTAAAATGGCATTTATAAAACTTAATACAAATATACTATTATCTACTCCCACAATGAGAAGCTGTAACTTTATGGCCTTTTAGTCACGGGCTGAAGTTAGCATCATTTGTATTATAATGAGCTCATAATATTATAAAACGCATTTGCTTACAATTCTTGCAATTCTTAGGAATGTCTCATTTTATCGTAGGCAAATCGTGGGGAATTTTTTTTAACATAGAATCAGGATAACGTACTTACAACTGCAAAACAAAATCCCCAATTTGCAATATAAATTATAATTTGACGATAATTCTTAAAAATTTTGGTAAAAAGGCGACATTCTTACAGGCTTAAAGAAGAAATAGACACTTCTTGAAACCTGGAAAAACACTTTGCCACTGTAATTTACACGTTATTTTATATCCTACACAAAATGACTGCAATAATACGTTAAATTAAAATGTTGACATTTAAAATTATTTTATTTTGACATGTATATCTACAATTTACTGCATTTGGCGAGTGAGTTACGGTAGCAACAGATGTAAAAGTCCGTTGCTATGGTTGTTATGGTATATTTTTTCTGCCTAGCCATTTGTGGGTGTTTTGCAAAGCACTTTCTCGTCCCTCTGAAAATTCAAAATTATCATATGGTAGGAAGAAAAATAATTAATTTAAATATTAGGTAAACAGTTTGGGGCAAATCTACCTTAAAGTATTTAAAAAATTGCATTTGGTATTACTTATTTTAACAATAAAAAATGTTGGAATTGATTACAGCTACAATACTTGGAACAATTTCCGAAATGTTTGAATATGAGTCTTAGCTAAACTTCACATGTACACATTGTAAACACCATAGATAAAAAATAAATAGATGAATATTCGAATTACATAGTTCATTATGTTTGTACGAGCCCTAACCACAAAATGTTCGGACACTTCATAATTTATACAGAAATATTTTTCGTGAATACTATCTCAAAATTATTAGAAGTTATGAAAAATTCAGCTTATTTTGGCATATACCCCTCGAAGCGATTTTTATTTTTAAAAAGTTTACCTTTTATTTTTAGCTTTTAAAAAAAGGGTAACTTTTTAACTTTTTTTTGTATGAGTAAAAAAAGTTATAAATGGGCCCATTAAAAAGAACATAAAATAATATACAAACCCTGAAAATTTGGTAAAAATTGTATAAATAATAAGAAAGTTATAACGATATATATATCTGCAAAATCTCCCGTTTCCTAAGAAAATTGCAAAAACTCTTTAAAAATAGGATTTTTAAATTACTTATACTTTTTTATAACTTATTTATTTTTTACCAAATTTTCAGGGTTTGTATAATATTTTATGCTCTTTTTAATGGGCCCATTTATAACTTTCTTTACTCATACAAAAAAAAGTTTAAAAGTTAGCCTTTTTTTAAAAGCTAAAAATAAAAGGTAAACTTTTTAAAAATAAAAATCGCTTCGAGGGGTATATGCTAAAATGAGCTGAATTTTTCATAACCTCTAATAATTTTGAGATAGTATTCACGAAAAATATTTCTGTATAAATTATAAAGTGTCCGAACATTTTGTGGTTAGGGCTCGTATTACATATTTCATTATGCTAGTAAGTAAACCTAATTTTTTGTATTATTTTAAATGATTCATTCATTACTATCTTTTTCTTTTATGTAAACTTCTGTTTTTGAACCTATATTATTAATATATATTATTAATTTTCATGAACATATGTAAACTTACTTTTATGTTATTTTATGTAAATTTGTTTTTTTAAACATTAATTTGTCCAAGTTAAGATATTTCATTATGTTTGTAAGTAAACCTATTGTATTATTTTTCCCTCCTGCAAACAGTAATGTTATAGGTACTTTTGGGGCCAGTATTTAAATTGTTGGTTAAGTTTATCTGACGATTGATATACCTGCTCTTAATCCTGTAATAATAATAATAACCATTTAAATCGCCTGCGTTTAATATTTTTTATTTATACTTGCCCCCAGTCTGCAAGAGGCGCTGTTTTATGACTGATTTTTAAAGAAGAGTCCAGATTGACATCTATTCCTTTTTGGCATATGGTAAACACTAAAACGTGCTTCTCTGGTTTTATTTATAGGTTTTATTTATAACTTATTATTAGCAGATTGTCAATTATTGTAAAATAACAATATTTTAGGTCAAAGTAAGTGAATTTAAATTTTAAATACACTCACAGGCAAAATAATCGATCCACACAAATTTTCCATGGCAAATAACTTTTTTATTTGATTTCGGATTTAAACAAATATTAAAGAATATTGTAGATACATTAATGGAGAATCGCTCACATTTTAAAAATTACTAAAAAATACACGTACGTTTATAATATACAGGTTTAACCTTTAACGGCTACACGGTGGTCTGCCAGACACCTCGCGAAAATCTATTACTATTATTTTGAAAACGCTTGTATATTGAGGGATGGGGGTCTATGTACCTTTCAATCGACGACCTTCACACACATCAGTAAAGTAAGAACGTCAGTGGCGCGTGCTGTGATTTATTATTATACCCCAAAGATAGGCAGTGGTCTGCTAGACTACGGCGTAGCGATTACGTAAGTGTTTTTATTTCTGATTATATTTTTATTATTCGACTTTTCTATAAAATTATTTATATTTTAGCATGGCTGGTGTTCCGGGACCTTCAAAAATGCATCCAGATGACCCAAAATTTCAAGAATGGGCACAAAATCTTTTGGATGAGCCATCAGATTTTGATGAACTTGATTTGGATAGCGAAGACGGCTTAGAAGACCCTGATTACTTGGAAAATGAACACGACACTCATGGAAAGACGATTGCAAAATAAAAATATACCCAGAGAACTAAAACTTACTTTGAAACGAATTCTAAACAAGACAACTGCAAATATCGAAATAGCAGCTGAAGAAGAGCGTCTGGAAACTCGACGGTTATGCCATATTTGTCCATCAAAATCGAAAAGAGAGACTCAGTATTTATGTTTTATTTGTAAAAACCCAATTTGTTTACAATGTTCCCCAAAAATTTGTTTAAAATGTAATGAAAACAAAAATGAATAAAAAATATTTTATTATTTTGTATTCTTGATGATTTTGGAAATAAAGCCAAGTTTTTTTGTTTGAAACAGGTTTTCTAAAGTTTTTTGTTTTATTTAAACCAAATTCTAAGTATTATTTGAAGTTAATTTAAATTTTAATACGAATTCTAATGGGGAGTCTGTGAGACCACGCTGTAGCGGTTAAAGGATTTTTTTGGACCGTAGCCGTTAAAGGTTAAACAAAAAGATGTTTTTTACCATAAGTTTAAGACACTCTGTAGAGTGGCAAAACCGTATATTGTTCTAAATTAAGTTTTAATTATCAAGTCAGATCTATTTTTAACAGTTTTGTTTTTGTTTTACCTTGATATATTTATTGTTGTGGAAAATATGGATTTAAAAAAAAACATTGCAATTTCCAATTTTTTCCTGTATGAAGAACTAAGGTTGCTATGGTCCATCCATAGCCTATGGAGGATGACAGTGACAGTTTTGTTGAATCATCCCATACTTGGACAAGTCATATACAGCTTTTAAAAGCTATCAAATTGTTTTTTGTAAATTAATGTGTTAATTTTGAGGTGTCTTCTTACTTTTAAAAATGTCTCCGACTGATGTTGCCCTTTGTACTTTACTTCTTGTGACGTTTAAAACACTTGCCACTGGCCACTGGCAACATCAGTCGGAGACATATCCATTTTTTTAATAATTTTTAAAATGTGAGCGATTGTCTATTAATTTATCTACAATATTCTTTAATATTCGTTTAAATCCGAGATCAAATAAAAAAGTTATTTGCGATTGAAATTCATCGAAAATTTGTGTGGATCGATTATAATAATTATTTTGCCTGTGAGTGTATGTTAAATATATTAAATATCTAATTTGATTCGATTAGTTTTTAGTGTTTTATTGTTAATTAAGTTTTTGTTTTTAAATACTTTCGTGTATGTTTATTTCATATTTTAATATAATTAATATTTTGATATTTTTATACTATTTCTTTTTATAAATTATTTGTTTTCATTGTTAATTTTGTACCTGTTTTTTATTCGTTTATTTGTTGTAAATAAAATAGTTATGATGTCAATGCTATTTTTTTAAACAATATCTACCAAAGATCCTACTAATTCTAGCAAACAAAAAAAAATAAATAAGTATTTAAAAATTCGATTTTTTAGCACTTCCTTGTGAGATTTCCAGAATTGTTTCACAAGTATTGTACATGTAATTCATTTTCTAAATAAATATCTCCAAAATATTTAATTGTTAAAATTAGTAAAAGTATTTTTTTTAACCGTGACGGTATTCTGAGTTCTTTATCCACAGTAATTCATACCCTCCTAAAATTAGTAAAGGAAAACAAAATATTTTTAAACTTTTGGGTGGATTATTGTTGCCTTGGTACTAGGGGTGTCAATCCCGGGATTCCGTAAAAAAACGATCCCGAAAATTCCAGGGTACATTAAAATATAATGTTTATAAATACCAGTGATGTAACCGATACATTTTTTTCAGTATCTAGGTACCGATACAAATACTCTCTGGTAGATGTATCTGGGTACAGATACCGATACATTTTCCCAAAAGTATCTGGGTACAGATACAGATACATTCAAAAAGTATCTAAGTTACTTCCAGATACTATGTTAAAAAAACTTAAAAATTAAATGACAAATAAATTTTTTTGGACCTTATAAACAAGCGTGTTAACTATAAAATAAAACTGTTTTGATAAAATTGACGAAATATCCATGAAAAAACGGAAATAAATTTTATATTTACGCGCCATATGAAAGCTTACTACAAAATTTGTAGTACAAATTCAAAATTATCAGAACGAAGAAAAATGGGTAAAATAAAATGGGTAAAATAAAATGTATCTTGTATCTAAGGATCTAGATACTTTCAAAAGGATCTAGATACTAAAGTAGATCCTGATTTTTTTAAGTATCTCGATACGTATCTAGGTACATAAAATGTATCTAGATCCAGTATCTAGATACATGTATCTCGATACATTACATCACTGATAAATACGTATTCGTTTCTTTTACACATACTTTTGTAATATAAGTAAATAGTTGTAACACTGCTAAAAATTAGACAGTGTTTTATTCATACATTCAAAATGCAAAATATGGTTCCAAAAGTCTCATCTTTCATGGGTGGCTACGACGGATTCTAACGACAAAATGCAAAGGCCGCCCCCAAACAATGAACATTAATTAGAAAACTTCTTAGCTAGATAAAATAGAAAATAGCAAATACGAGGTGAAAAAGAATGGAATTATTTGCTAATGGAGGTAAACGTGGATACAATCTATAACGTGCCTACGAGTTCTTGAAAACCATTCCTCCAACTAGTGTAAAGTCCGATAGTTGTAGTTTGTTCGTTTATTTTAAATTATATTTTTTAAAAATCTTAAAATTTATGTTTATAAGTTTATTTTTTGGGAATGATTCCGAGATTAGTTACCTTGGTCCCGAAAACCCAGGTATTGAAAAATTCTTCGGGATTCACCCCTTATTGGTACCTACTTAATATATATATATATATATGGCTTTTTTAAATTTATATGAAATCTGAATGCCTGAGTCAAAATATCTTACCTTATATTATAACCCATATTTATAGGTATATCTCTTCTTTTAAAGAAATACTTTAATATTATTGAATTTCTGAAAATGTTAATTAAATGGACTGCTGGATTTAATATTAGACCCCTGTCTACTAGACAGTGTCTAGTGTTCACTATACATCGATGTTGTTTGTTCGTTTATTTTAAATTATATTTTTTAAAAATCTTAAAATTTATGTTTGTAAGTTTGTTAATTTTTAATTAGTTTTAAAATTAAAGATTTATATTTTTTGGGAATGATTCCGAGATTAGTTACCTTGGTCCCGAAAGTCCAGGTATTGAAAAATTCTTCGGGATCAACACCCCTTATTGGTACCTACTTAATATATATATATATATATATATATGGCTTTTTTAAATGAAATCTGAATGCCTGAGTCAAAATATCATACCTTATATTATAACCCATAAGTATATCTCTTCTTTTAAAGGAATACTTTAATATTATTGAATTTCTGAAAATGTTAATTAAATGGACTGCTGGATTTAATATTAGACCCCTGTCTAGTGTTCACTATACATCGATAGGTAATCGATAGTCCGATGGGCTATTAAACTATTAAATTTTTATAGCCCATCGGGAATACTGGCACCTTTAGTATAAAAAACAATCCTTATCACATACAACCTCTTTTAGTCCAAGATCCGGCAATATTAACGGGAATGTGATCGTTCCTAGAGACCATTTTCACATTAAACAATAGTTTATAGTTGCCTCTAAACCAACCCAGATAGCACAAGAGGTACCCAGGACGTCCATTTCGGGTCCCGAACGTACTAGATCTATATCGTAAGTTTTGGGTACGTCCAGTCTCTTATTTGGGAAAACTAAAGCGGATATACTCGGTACGTCCCAAGGACGTAATTTTTTTTTTACTAATTGAAGCATAATATATTATGATTTAAAAATAGTTTGTGTCATGCAGAATGACCTAAAAAATATTCCAACATTTATAAATGCAAAATATTTGTTTTTCATTGATAACTAACAATTTTATTTTTGTCACTTAGACCCTTTGGGAATATCACTCTTCAATTCTGTAAAGCTTGTCCAATAGTCCCCAATAAAGCATTTCAGGACGACCAGAGGATGTCTTACTTAGGACTTTCTGGGGACCGACAATTTGGTAACATCGGATGTCCCTGGTACGTCCTGGGGAAGGTTCAGGGCCTGATTCGGACATACTCGGGACTTACTAATGTCTAATACAAGATATATCTGGGAAATTAATAAGGTTTGAAATTAAAATATAATATATTATATAATAAAAATGGCCATGGTATTGGGTTTGTATTTAAATGTTTTCATGCATATGCTTTTGATCCTTATTACCCCTCAATGACTTTTTTGTTGCCAAATATATTTAAACGCAAGTGACAAAAAGTTATTTTTCTAATAAAGCTTAAACATTGCCATAATCATGATTAATCGTATATTATCCTAGTAAATAATGCGCATTATTTTGATTGTAATACTATGATTTGTCTACTCCAATTAAGTAATTTTTAATCATAACAAAATTTATTATAACCTCACTTTTCCCAGATTTTAAAGATCATTATAGTCGCCCCTCGTAGGTATCTACGATACAAATCTGACATCTGTTAACCTTAGTTTTTCCCAATTTAAAACCCGATTGGTTAAAATAAAAGTGAATATTGAAATCAACCAATCACTGATGCCTAACAACGTGAATAATAAGTTTAATATTCCCGTTGTTAGGCCGGGAGGTTATATTGGTTACCATTACAACAAAAAAACAAATAATGTCAATAATATGCAACAGGACAAGAAAATAGTATATTCTGTAACAAGTTTGGAATACAGCATATTTCGCTCGAGTGAAGAGTTTGTAACACGAGCCGAAGGCGAGTTTGACGGTTTCACGAGAGCGGAATATGCAATTCCAAACGTGTTTCAGACTATACTTTTTCTAAGTTTCCAAAAAATACCATAGAAAAATAATTTAATTGGAAGAAAGTGAGGTTGGATCGGTCTAAAATTTGTTAGATATTAAAAACAGAGATATCGCCACGAGTGTTTATTCTGTCATCCGATGATAGAATATTTCATTCTGTAATACTTTACGGAATATATGTCATTCCATAGATAAAAGTGATATTATAACGGTCAAATTCCTTAATATGAGTAGAAAAATCAAATTTTGTATGTGTTCTATTTCATTTTAAAGTTCAAACTGTTAAATTTTAAGGTGTTAGTAAAAATACATTTTGGTATATTATTTATTTTACAAGGTAAAATTAAAAAGATAATATTGTAGATATGTGTACTGGTTAATATTATTATAAACTTTAAATTACTTATCGCAATTATTATTTATCTGCAAAGTGCATTGCATTTTCTACTAATTCATCCAATATATCTATAATAATCATCATAGTGGACTCTTCTGAAGCTTCCTCATCGTCCTTATAATTATAGAACAAAAATTGGCTTGATCCATGTAATGAAACATTTGTATCGACCAATGTACTTTCTTTCAAATCCATTTGATTTTTTTCTAAAGGATACTTTAAACCTTTTTTTGCATAATACCTAGTTATATCTTCTATTATATTATCCTTAGAATTATTGAAATAATTAGCCATGTATGTCAACACATTGCTTGAAGGTCTCTTTCTAAATACCAGTTTCAGTAAGATAGAAATAATAGCGTGGACTTCAGGATTATTTTTTAAATATATATTATTTTCCCTTATTGTTTGTACTTTAAACCGGTGCAAATTTTCTTTTTGGGTTGGTGTTAAATCGGATAAAATATAGTTTTTTGTATTACGAGGTTTATCAGTTGATGCAAAATCAAAATCTTCAGGTATAGGGTCGTAAATACATGATTTATTTTTAAAAAACATTGTATAATTATAAAACTAGTTTGACAAAATTGTCACAATTTGGTGACATATTTGTTCTGTTGTCAATTTTGTTTTTTAAAAACTTTTAAAATAATATTTTTTAATGATAGATATATCTATCATCTACCTATAGGTAGATAGATAGATATAAATGTAAGGTAAATTTATTTGTTTATTGCTGTTTCTTTAACTCAATAAAAAATTATTAATAATGAATGCTATTCATTACAAGACTATTTTATTATTTAATTTGTATAAATTTGTATAAATTATAATTTTCTGCAAATTTAGTTATTTGTCTATTGGCATTTTTTCGCACTCGCAAAGATGATAATCCAAATATTTTTATTTTCGCGAATATTTAGAGTATACTCTAAATATTCGCGAAACGCAAATCCAATCCTTGAAATTTTATTTCTACCAAGATCCATGTTATAAAACAATTCATTGAAAAACAATAATAAATAAATAAAACTAACATTTTTAGCTAAATTCCTATTAAAATAAATTCTTCAAACGTATGTATACCAAGAATTCATCTCATGTAGATTCAATAATCTCGAATTGAAAAGGCATGTAAATAGACAAGCTTACTTACTAATTTAATTTAATCAAGGTGTAACTGGATTACACAAAAAAAACAATACTGTTGGGATGAAAATTTCCAGTCTGACTGATAATGTCTTTGACCCTTAATAAATTCCATTGTCTTATTAAAACACCAAGTTAAGAATTCGCATATCATGCTTTTATTTTTATGTTGGTTTTATTTATAGAAATGTTTATGTTCATATAACTTTAAGTGGGGTTTGTTTTATATATTTTGTCCGATATGCGAATTAGAATAACAACAATTCAAAAGGCTAGAATGATGATACATAACATAAATTGATGAAAATCTAAAATGACGAAAATGAAAAATTATCAATCACAAACATTCGCATCTCTTTTACTCGTATTAAGAAATTAAGGAATTTCCGACACTGTATATTTGAGAAAGTGTGTGCCTTTCAGGCTGTAACGAACAACTGATGCATGTCCTTTTTTGCGTAGAGATAGTTATATTGGCCGGAGACATAGGCTACTTTTTTAAACTTTTTTCTTTTCGTTTCCGAGCGGCCGCCCGCAGATTAGCTGCAGTATCTACTATAGTTATATTTTTAAAACACAATTGCATTTTTATTCGTTAAGCGTTATTATAAACTTTGAGTATGTAAGTAAAAATTAAAAATAAAAACTTAACAGTGTCAAATGTTTAAAGCTGTAATATTTATCTCGCAAAATACCTTTTGCAAATACTTTTTAGGAAAAAATATAAATGCAAATGAAGCAGCATTTAAGTATATTCATATTAAAGTATAAAGTTTTAAATGTCCCCTACCTTAACATTTGTTGTTGTGTTTATAGAACCACAAAGGTTGACAAAAACATGGAAGAAGACCCCCAAAATATAACTGCATATGACAATATTGATTGAACGTAAGCAAAATAAAATGACTTTAAGTTGTAAGCAGACCAATGGTTATTTATATAGCGTAAAATATAACTACCATGATTTACTTTTGTGTTGCCCCAGCTAAGGCTTGAGTCAATATGAATATCGAATTTCCGTTTGCGAACGCTAATAAACTTTGCATCTTACGATTATAGTTTTAATTGAACTCTAACAAGTTAGTTTTGGATGCATGTATTAGTGCGTTTGATAAACACCATTCTGACATAATTTGAATTACATTACTTGATTTTACAGATAAATCGGTAGTTTCGACGGATTAACCTTAAATTGTCATAAGAAAAGCTTAAACCCAACATTGCCTTCTCCTACATCGGATTGAGGTGAAAACTCAAATTTTTCTCAAAAACGAAAAGATTTAGAAAAAAATATAGTGTCGAAGCTCTAGAACGAACATTTTTAAAATTACCAAAAAAGCGTTTTATTGCCTTTTTAACAAAAAAAAAATGTTTTAACGCAGTACTATCATAAAGAAAGTTGATTATCTTGTAGAAAACTACAAAATTCATTTTAACTTTTTTTCCTTCAATAAACTGTGAGTTATATATCACGACGTGTTTTTGGTGAAAACTCAAAAAGTTTGGCATTTAATTTTTTTCAAAATCGGTAAGTTTAAGAAACAAAATTTTGTTAAACAAAATTTAGGGCGCATTGTCCCCTACAATTTATGTCATTGGGTCGATGCTCTAGGACAGAAAATTCAAAAAGCATTTTATCGCTTTTTGAGCCAAATTTTTTTTTTTAAAGCAGGACTGTTATTAAGAAAGTTGTTTATTATAAATAAACCCACAAAATTCATATAATTTTTTTTTACGATAGACCGGTTCGAAGTTATATCAGCCATCCGAATTTTCTAAATTATTCCAAAAAAAACCCTCCAATAATAAAGTTAGCAAAGTAAGATAACTTAACATAACATTGAGTCAAGTTCTCATCGATAATATAATATTATTAATTTTTCACTTACAAAGACTCAAAATGTAATTTTGTTAAAATAACGCGTTTTTAAAATCTAGGAACTAAACTATTGTTATAAACAAATTCATTGGACCATTAATAGTAAAAAGTTATAGACTCAAGCCCTATTTTCATTTTTGTTTTGTTTTTTGGATGTCCAGAGGGGCCCCCAAATCTTGAGTAGTCTTTCTCAATAAAAAAAATCTAAAATTTTTTGTATGTATAAAAAAAATATTTCGCTTTTCGAGGTCCTCGGCCAAAAAACCTTTACCATAAAATATAAAATATTGCGAAAGTTTCTAGAATAAAAAATAACATGCTATGAAAAAACAAAATATAAGGTTAGAACTAAAAAATATTTATAATATTTTGGTCTTGCAATTGACTTCCATCAGGAACTAGGAAAAAAGTTATCATTACATTAATTAATTGTTAATCTTGGACATGCCTTGATTTAAAAAATTAAATTACTAACAAGTTAAAATATAAGTAAGTTCGCTGAAAAAAAAAATTGTAATCAGTGATGTCCCTGATTACATAAATCGTCTTGGGGCCCTGTGGCGAAGGACTTGCTAAGAGGATCTACTAACCAATTAAAAATTAGGTAACATTTTTTTTGTATAAAAAACTCTTTTTTTCTGATACAAAAATTCTTAGAATCTGAGTTTAATTAAAGAATATTTTTTAATAAACCGATTTATAACTGTCGCAAAGATACATGGCCATGAAAAAAATTAACAAGATTTTTCAGATTGTTGAGACCAAGTTCATGATGGAAGCATCCGATGAGGCTCTGGATATAGCATTAGAAAATTTAAAGGAAATGTACGATAAGTTTGATAAGCAGCTGGTGCTGCAAGAAATTAAAAGGTATCGTATCGCAAGCAATACGTCTGCGGATGTTGCTGCTCAATGGACAACTCAAGAAATCCTTCAATTTATCATCAAATGGGACTTCAGTGAATCCTTATACTTCAATACTTCTTAACCGTTTGTGTTTTAGTCGCTTCTTGCGAGAGAAGTTTTTCTAAATTGAAACTAATAAAAAATTATCTTCGATCTACAATGAACCAAGAACAACTAGTCAATTTGTCAATTCTGTCAATTGAAAGGACAACTTTAAAAGAAATATATTTTAACGATGTTATTGAGAATTTTAGTAAAATGAAGGCTAGAAAATATTAACAATATTATATATATGCAATTCAACTACTACAATAGTATTAATGGTACTAATGGTACTATCTAAATGGGGATATAACATTTTTATTAATAATAATTCTTCATATTATTATAATTATTATATTGAGTTTGTTATTAAAATAAAATTAAAAAAATGGTGCGTTGATCCTTATACCCATTTCCCACCCAAAAGACACATTAAAAAATAATCACACCATTTCCTAAGCAGACTAGGGGGCCCCATTTTATTTTACCGCCCCGGGCGGGACTTTTAACTTTTGTACAAACGACATTAAGTAAGATTAAAAATAAAATATTAAAAACTAAAATGGTACCAACCACACGCTTTTAAAAATAATAGTAAAATAACGACGAATTAAAAAAAAGTAAAACCATTGACTGTGATTGTGGGATCGTCCCTAACTTTCCACAGCTGATTATATCCGATTGTCTTTAACTACCAGCTCTTTGCAATTACGCAAAGGCCAAAACAGTTTTGTCTTATTATTTGATTAATTTCAATTGTATTTGACAAGCGAAGACAGAAACGTTCAAGAGGAAATTAATTCGGGTTTGCATGCAAGTCGAGCGCATATGTAGATAAGGCCATTTAGCCGAATCGAAATTATAAATGAACATTCTCCCTGTCAAGATGATTAATCAGATTCGTCAATTTTCTTTGTTAAGATTGCCAATAAAAATGCTGTTAGCGTAAACGTCGATAAGCGTAAAATGATGCACGTAATGAGTCCTTTGTCAATAAGTTAAATAATATTTAAATGCAAAATGCGAGAAGCTAACAAAAACTCACTACCTACATCAATTTTAAATGAGTTATTTTACCAATCATAGAATTTTGATGGGGTTTTGTTCTACAAAATTCTTAATAAATAGGTGTATTTATAAGATAAAAAATACGACAATTATTTCGAGATTATTATTATTTTATTTCAATTAAAAAATATATATTTTTTGTTTTTATGATTTTGTGACAATTATTTCTCAAAAAACCCCTATGGGGCACGTGTTCCCTTTGACCGATCTAAAAATTTTTAGGATTTTTTTTTATGATTTGGAATCGATATGGGGGGCGCCTCTGTTAAATTTTTTGTCTATTTCTAACTAAGGAACACCCTAATATATATTTATATATATAATATATTTACTAACTATATACGTATACGTATATAGTTCATTGATTTTAAGTTGAGATGAAACTTGTTCTGTTTTAGATCAATTAGTTTTAGTAGGGGGTCAAAATTTTGTTTAGATTTTTGGAATTTTTAGTTTAATATCAATAATTTTTGTGTTAAATATTTTCAACAAAAATATCACCCAATAAGTATGA